TGATATGTCTATATATTTGCATTATCTGTGTACATATTTGCATACATTTATCCTCTGTTTAGCTTTATTCTGCATCATTTAGGCACCCTTTAGCAATAGTTTAGTTCACATTTGCATCTTAGAGTCCTAGGATAGAGTTGTAAATATTTCTCCTTCTTTTACCCTTTTTCAGGTGGTATTTATGCTTTAATGGAGTTATCCGGCTTACTAGAGCCTAGAGGGTTGGAGTGGAGTACAAAAGAGCAGATGAGCAGAGGAACAGGGTTCCGGATCAAACAGGGAGCAGCGGAGCAGAAATTAGTCGAGATCATCAAGGAACACCGGTGAGAGGCACTTGGAATAGGAGAAGGATGAAGTCTCAACAAACCTACTGAAGTTCACGACTTGGGTGAGAATCAGGACGTTAGTGCACCTTAAATATATGCACAGATGTCCCAGGTTATCTCCTTGTTATGTTGGAGCATCAAGACTCTCCGACTGTTGAACCAGGCGCATCAAACTGGGTGAAGAATAAGCTGAAGAAACCGATATCTCATGATATCGGTACAAACCGATGAGCAAGACCAGTATACTACCCCCATTGAGAGGCTCGTGTCGCGACTCGAGAGTTGTTGGTCGCGTTGGATAGGAAACGGAAATCGGTCACTTCCCTCATATGGAGTGACCGATATTTAACGCATTTTGTTGACTTTCCTGGGTCGACCGTTGACTCGAGCTGGACAATACGTTAACGCGTCGGATCGACCCATGTACTGTTATGAGGGGCTATATATATGTTCTTAACTCCTGAAAAACCTAAGTCTTGTTTTTCTTTCTTTTTTATGTTTTTAAGCTTTCCATTTACGTTTGCGTTGTAATCGATCCTTAGAGCATCGGATCTTTGATGTTCTAAGTTACTTTGGTTATAAAGTTTCAGTCTTCAGCTTAAAGCTTCACTCTTTTACTTGTTAATCGCATTTATCTTCACATATCATCATTCGCAGCTCGCTCGAGTCAATCATGGTTTTTCCCGTAGCCATGAGTGAGTAGTTCACTCATCGAGTATCAGGGTAGTAGATGTAGAAGTTTTAGAGCTTGGCTAACTTAGTTTCGGCCTAACCCTTATGTTTCTCGAGCTTAGGCTAAGATTAATGCTCAGTTCTTGGTTACGGCCTTGAGCTTTGTCTTGAGGCATTCCGCTACCCGAAAGGTGTTTGATGGAATGAATGACTGACTTTTTTTTTTTTTTTGCTCGGCTTAGCGACCCCTGGCCATGAAAGTGTTGTTAAGGGGAGCTAGGTGAGCTTTATTGGGACTTGATCTTAATGCTTGAAGAGTACTTATATCTAGCAGGGAAAGTTAGTTAGATGTTTGTACTCAACAAAGTGGTTAGTAGCATCACGAAAGTGGGATGATCATTATTCGTGTCTCATGCTTAAGAGTGAGCTTAATACTAAAGGCCCTAATTTTGTTAGCCGAGATCTATTGATCTACATCAGTTGCTATCCCGATATTTGGTGCTCCCATCATCATTGCATT